ATTTCTCCACTCCCCAGCTCACCCCTTCAATCTCCTCTCGTATCACAAATCTACTAAGCGACATATCAGCATGGATGTCACATCACTACCTTAAACTCAATCTTTCCAAAATTGAGCTTGTAATATTTCCTCCTCCCCGATCCCCCACTCACAACTTTACCATTAAGATCAACAGCACAACCATTGGTCCTTCCCCTCATGCCAGGGTGCTAGGCGTAATCCTAGACTCTGACCTCTCCTTTGGGCCCCACATCCACTCACTGGCTAAATCCTGCCGCATCAACCTCCGAAACATCCGCTCCCTTCTGACCAATGACACCACAAAACAACTTATCCACGCCTTGGTTATATCCCGCCTTGATTACTGCAACTCCTTCCTCACTGGTCTACCGTTACACAGGCTATCCCCCTTCAGTCTATTATGAATGCTGCTGCTAGACTCATACACCTTACCAACCGATCAGCGACTTTTGCCCCTCTCTGGTAATCCCTTCACTTGCTTCCACTAACCCAATGTATAAAATTCAAAATACTAACCACAGCTTACAAAGCCATCCACAACACTGCCCCTACCTACATCGCCAACCTCATCCACAGATACTGCCCAAATCGCCTACTCCGCTCCTCCCATGATATCTTCCTCTCTAGCTCCCTCATCACCTCCTCCCACGCTTGCCTCCAGGACTTCTCCAGAGCCTCTCCCGTCCTCTGGAATTCTCTACCACAGCTTGTCCAGTCAGCCCCCAATCTGTCTACCTTTAGGTGATCTTTGAAAACTCACTTCTTCAGGGAAGCCTACCCCACGTCCACCTAAGAACTGTACTTGAATCACCTACACCAGATCACCCCCCCCGCAGGTATCACCTCTTGTATCACCTCCCCCTTCCTTTGGATTGTAAGCTCCACGAGCAGGGCCCTCACATTCCTTCTGTACTGAAAGTATTGTAGTTGTACTGTCTCCCTTATATTGTAAAGCACTGTGCACACCGTCGTTGGGACTATATAAATCCTGTATAATAATAATAATAACAACAAGGCAGGGTATGGGGTTTGGTAACTGAGAGATTTTTTTTTTAACATTAATAAACATTTATAAAGCTGCACAGTTTTTTTTTAAAACCCACTGGGGCCCCTTGGCTGCATAGGCTATTTTCTGGAAATAGTGAACTTAACCTTTAAATATATTTTATTTGTAAACAGCGCTGAGCAAACTGTTGGCGCTATATAAATACTGTATAATAATAATAATAAACTACTCCCACCATCTTGTTTTCCAGTTCACTGACACCTGGACAAAAGGAAAACCAATAAAGATGGATATGTATTTTTGAAGTTAATATTCTTTGAGCAACATGAATTATCCTACAATCACTGGACACAAGATATTTATATGCTATATGCATCTTGCATAGACAGGCAATGCAATTATCACTTTGGTATAGCTTGAATTATCTGAGCTTAGGCCTGGTGTCTTGTATCTAAAAGCTTCAGAGGCAGAGATGTGTTTTCTCAGTGGAAGGAATGCTGTCACTTGGTTAATCTTTAACTGGATATGTGTTAGCACCCTGGAGCCTGTTAAGTACCTCTGTTTTCTTTATGGGCAGCTCACGGTGCCACAGGGTCTGTGATGTGTTCCTGGTGGGGGTCCATGTATCAGGAGTGACACATGGTAGAACAAACTGCTTACAAGTGGCGCGCTGCATATTGATCATTGAGCATCGCTCATACAAGAAGGCTGTTGCTTTTCTATTTATGGAATCCTGACATTTCATCCCATGTACTGCCATAATGAGCACCCAGACAGACTCACTTTATTGCCAGGTGCTGCCTGTTTGCTATGGCCTTTGTGAAAATCATTATAAATAGTCAAGTCTGTCGCTAACTTGCACTTTTAAATTTGAGCAGATAAAATCAAAAGAATAGGCTATTTGTATGTACAATTGGCAGCAATGCCATTATATAAGCAGAGGGTTCTTGTTTCAGATGGTTGTCTAGATCTGTGTTAAAAAAAACTTGTACTGACAACAGTATGCACTCTCCTTAAAATGCAAGTTGTTTGGCCGCCTCTTTGCTTTAGTGCTTTCTGGGGCACTGACCAAAAACAGGTATTTCGATCAGGAAAGTCAGGGTAAAGTCTGAATTACTTTTGATCAGGAATTCTAAGAATTCTGGACTGGAATTACAGCCAGGGAACTGGTATTTTCAGAAAGGGTGGTCCGCTACGGCATTTTCCATCAGTTTGAATCTATATAGCTCTTTAGCGAGTCCTTATTATACATATTAAGTTACCTGAAAGTACTTTTGATGTAGTTTGCATATGTTATATTATACTTCATATTTTCATTATCTTTTATACACAGATTTGAAGGCTATCTGTACACTCACCATCCACTTATTAGGTACACTTGTTCAATTGCTTGGTAACACAAATTGCTAATCAGCCAATCACATGGCAGCAACTCATTGCATTTAGGCATCTAGACGTGGTGAAGATGACTTGCTGAAGTTCAAACCGAACTTCAGAATGGGGAAGAAAGGGTATTTAAGTGACTTTGAACATGGCATGGTTGTTGGTGCCAGACGTGCTGGTCTGAGTATTTTAAAAACTGCTGATCTCCTGGGATTTTCATGCACAACCATCTCTAGGGTTTACAGGGAATGGTCCAAAAAAAGAGAAAATATCCAGTGAGTTGCAGTTGCGTGGATGAAAATGCCTTGTTGATGTCAAAGGAGAATGGGCAGATTGGTTCGAGATGATAGAAAGGCAACAGTAACTCATGTCAATATGGAATGTTTCCAACGCCTTTTTGAATCTATGCCATGAAGAATTAAGGCAGTCCTGAAGGCAAAACGAGGTCAAACCCGGTATTAGAAAGGGTGTAACTAATAAAGTGGCCAGTGAGTGTATGTCAAACAGGGCATTTGGTTTCCTTGCGACATGTGGGTCCTCTAGACCCTGTGAGGTGCTCTGTGTGTTCTGTAGATGTAGTCAACTACACAGAGGTCATATTAATGTAAATTGCGATTTTTCGTAAAGCGTCCACATGTTGGAATACATTAGTAGCTCATTGATTGCTTTAAAATGTTGCCTGAATTGCTCTTAAATAGCAGTTAAGTAAATGACAAGTAACCGAAGACTTTTGTATGCTTTTACCTCATTTTGCTTTCCTATACACGGCAATGGAAAAACCACTCAAAGCAGGTCAGAAGGTGGTCAACTGTAGGTGGAATGCCCTTGTCAATGAATTCTGAATGATCTCAGAAGAGTCTCAATCTGATGTCAAACTGATATAGTGTGATGGACGCTGCACACCACTGGCTCAGGGTGTGCTATAATGTGAAAACAGCCTCAGCCTCAGCTCCTCCTAGGCCACAACTTGCCTAGGAGGAGCCAAGGCTGAGGCCTTTTTCACTTTATATCACACACGGTAATGTCGGTAATGTGCAGCATCCCTCACACTATATGACTAAATACTAGCTGGATGAGATTTCAGGATGCCTCTTCTGGTTGTGGACCACCAAAGTGACAGCATTGAAGGGCTTTTGGAGCTGCGCTGCAAGTTACTGAGGGTTGCCGCGATGTCAAACTGCTTCCATCACAAGGACCAAAGTCTGTTGACACTGGCCATTACTGTAATGAGAAAATACAGAAAATGAAGAGCTACATGTTAAGTCGGTAAACTTTTCTTTTGCCTTCACTTTTGCCCTTCTGCCAAGGAGTGACATTCTTGCCCCCCCCCCCAGCCTTTTGTTTCCTTGTATCTTGCACCATCGCCTATACAAATATTGAAGTGTAATTCTTTCATTTCAATATTTTTCTAACCTAGTTGGACTATATAATGCACTAGCCTCTCCTACGTTAGATAATGAGACAACCTATTTAGTGTGCATAACCACTTTTACAATTACTTTTACAAGTAGGTATCGCACTTTAAATACTGTTTCTTTCATTGAAATAGCCATATGATTGTAATTATATAGCTGATTACTGTTCTCTTTCATCTGCTGATGGAATCTACTGTACAGTATGTTATGACCTTGTATCCAAGGTCTTTAATAAGTCTTAAAAAATAAAGAATCAAAAAAATATAGCAAATGATAACAAAATCCTCAATTATGATATCATGAGCAATTCTATGCTTGACATGTACTGCTTGGCTAAAGTGGTAAATACAGTAGTCTTTTTTTGTGGCTAGTAGGAACCACACTTTCTAGTCCAGACTCAAAGGTGTTACTGGATGAGAACCTGTACTGCCACTGCTGATGTACACAACTGAATCCATGTTTCACTACTGTGCATGTAGATGCTCTGTACATAGATGTACTACTGTATATATTGTGCAAGCTCTTGGATGAGTAAAGAGATTGTAATACTTACCCTCAGCTCAAAGCGTTTAGGTAAAAGACACATCCATGTTATACAGACAATGGGGGACTAATATGCAAACAACGGTTACCTTTTCTTTAGCCTTGCTTTTTTTAAATAACAAATTCAGTTATTTCAAAAATTAGGGAAGGGTTTAGTACTATAAATGAATACATTTTTATAGAATACTGTAGATCAAAAAGAGAGAAAACTGAGGAGGAAAGAGAAACAAAGGAGTCTGGTACCAAAAGAGAGACAGTCCCTCCAAATGAGCTATGGTATTATATGATTAATTACAACCATGATAGCAAGTCTTGAGCTCAAGTTCAAAAATGTTGCTACTGACAAGGTCCCAGAGTAGTATAACATACAAGCAGATGGTTCTAGTGAATGCAACCTGTGAATAATGCAGGTGTTTTGTAAAAAGTATATATTTATTCTCAGGTTGCAATAGACCAAACTAACCATAGCATCACTGACTACCAGAAGTCATTATGGGACATCCTTTCATTTTTAAATTTTTTTTTTGTTGTTGTTGTTGTTTTGTTGTTATTTTTGTTCTGTTGTTTTTGACTGCCTTACTCCACAAGATTAAGAATAAGATCCATTGCGTGTGCATCTTTTCACCATTTTCATGCACTTTCTGTTCCCATCTACAGGTGGTGCTCATGAAGGTCTTCAACACTTGGGACCATATGGCAACATCCCAAATATTGTGGCTGAACTGACAGGGGACAACATTCCTAAAGATTTCAGGGAAGATAAAGGATATCCAAACCCTCCTAACCCATGCCCTGTTGGAAAGACTGGTGAGCTACCTTGGATATTAGTATGTATTAAAAACATAACTGTAGTTTGCAAAATAAGATATGGGGAATATTCAGTGTCAGAAAAAGTATCCAGGATACATACTGTAGAGAAGACTTGTCATCAACTTCATCACTCTCTTGATTTGAAAAATAAGTCCCTATAAAGAAAAAAAACATACAGTAGTTACACTCCTATCCTTCTGCCCACATCACAGAAAAACATATCCGTGATGAGGGCAGAAGGACAGGAGTGTGACTATGTTTATCTATCACTGTCAAGGAATCTTTTCCATTTTCCTGGTTTGTCAGATGCCTGCTTTTTTCACTGCATGCTGTGGGTTCTTCCACTACCCCTAACATCACTACTGTTGAGAACTCAAAGCACAGGGGGAAAAAGGAATCTGACATTCCTAGAAGTGTCATTTGAAGGACAGCTTTTAGACAGAGGCATGCCTTCAACAAGCCAAAGACTGGTGGTGCAGGAAGTGAAAGAAGTAGTATTGTTTTTTACAGGGAATTCTTTGTTTAATTCTTTTTTTTAGAAACAGAGTCACATTAAAGAAGAGACTTGATTTTATACTTATTGTCTTTAATTAAAGGGAACGTTACAGGCTAAGTTCAGTTTTTGGAGCATGTTATATGCTACACCTATATTTAAGATGTATTGTGTAACATGCTCCAGCACTAGTCCCTGCAAACCCCCCCCCCCCCCCAGTGGGCAGAGGTTCCTTTCCCAGCACCCCCATTTAAAAAGAGTGTGGCTGTGTGGGGTTCCACCCATAAAGCTGTGTCATTAAAGGAATCTGTAAGTGAGAGAACTGCCACCGTGGCAAACTGCTTCTAGTTCTCAATGGGCTACGATGGTGCTCATTATTGCCCACGTAGCCCAATGGCATGCCTTCCAGTTTTCCAATAGAAAGCCCGTACAGAGGTACAGGCAAAAAAGCTGTTGGATATGTCTGCAGGAGCCCAACATTGCACCCGCAATTCACTGACCACAGATGCAATGCTCTGCGGTCTACTGTGCAAAAATTAATACATGCACATTGTTTTCATGCAAGAAAATATGTGCATTTATTATTTCTTGCAGAAAAGTAAACATCCTTTGAAACCATCCACAGATGTAAATGGACACAACATAGTTCTGTGTGGATAGAATCCATTTAGTCTAAAAAAAAAATGCATATACATTGGAAAATATTAACCTTTTCTTGGTCTTGCATCTACCTGTTCCATCTGTTCTGTCTAGCTGATTGCCTCCTCCCATGCTCATTAAGTGGCGTCCATCAGTCTATTAGTAAATGAAAATAAGTGCAAGTCATTTGGGAACTGACTGGTTGTTAATTTTATTTTTTGCCAAAGGCACAAAAGTGGAACTGTTCTTGGTAAATAAGTTACCAAGAACTATTTTCTGTGTGTAAGAGGCACTGTACCACCATTAAAAGCTTCACACAATGCAAACTGTCCATCTCAGAATAAATATGCTGAATGTAAGGGTGGCCACTCACCTCTTATAATTACTAAAAGTAAATCTGTGGCAACCTAAAACATTGTAAACTACTAGCAGCAATGTATAGCAGGTACATACAGTTTTATAGTGAGAAAACCGGAAATACGGGGGTAAAGTCAAGCTCTGACCCATTACTCCCTCTGTATATGTATAACCGGGTACCCTGGGTTTTGCTATTAACATACATAAGGCAAAATATCCTAAATCTGAGGGAACGTTCCAGGTCTCCCAGAGGACCATAGAAGCAAAATTACTCCATCCATACATAAATACATAAATGTACTCATCCGATGACTATATCCACTTGTCTACATACTGATCAGCTACCTACAGAAGTTTGCCTTTAACAAATCAAAGATTATTTTATGATAGATATAATTTAGTTCTAGCTAATAACATCTGACATTCCCTCATTTGCTAAGTATTCTAACTCTGCTAGGATGTCTTTCCCAGGTATGAACAGAGAGGTGTTTACAAAATTCACATTTTACAGAGGAATTTTAGTAGAAATAGGACCAAAGCTCTTTTGATCCTATGTCCCTGGTGGGTCAGAGGAGTGCATTTAGTTCTGCACTCCTGTGATATGTATTCAGCCAACAGCAGGCCCCTGACTTTTGAAAGGATACAGACTTTAATGTCAGGCTCTGCCCAGACTCCTGGCCAGCAGCTGGCTCAGCCTCTTAGCATGCCGCTGAGAGACTGAGCCAGCAACTCCTACCCCCTCTACAGCCCGGTGCTCCAGTGAGCTGGTGGGGTAGAGCAGAGAGCGGGTGCATGACAGTCACTGCTCACTGAAGATTGCTCACTTCTCAGTCACTAGAGGTGGCAGGGAAAACGTGAAGTATTGGACTGATGCTGCATCCACCTAGGTGAGTATGTATGTTTTTTTTAATCCCATACTTCACTTTTAAGAAAAGAGTGGAGAACAGTGAATATAGGCTTTAGTTATATGTGTTGAATAGTTCCTTTCTTATTCATCTGAGCTTTCATAACAGGTGATGGTTGTTTGGAGAATACACCAGACACAGCCCAGTTCAGCAAAGAATACCAGCTGCACCAGAACCTATATGACCCAGAACACAACTATCCAGGAGTAAATAAGTGGGTAAGTGTGACTTCCTACAACACTGTTCATTATCTCTAACAGAAAAAGTTCTAGAGAGACCGGTATGGAATTCCAAGGTTTCTGAAGTCTTCCTGTGCGCTCACCCCTTGGCCTAGAATAGTAAAGGCTGCTATAAGCCTCCAAGGGTATTGCAAATCATGTTTGAAAGTTAGCAAGCCTGAACTTCATGGTGAATCCCATTAAAATCTAAGAGGGGCAAATCCTGCCATTAAATTCTGGGGCTATTAGACAAACCACTGTCAAAAAAGGCATAGGACGCTGGTCACTGCTATGGGAGACAATCTTTTTTTTAAAGTACTTTCTAATGGGGAAAGGGTCTTTTCCATGCAGCTTTGAGGGCAACATTAAAATTACATGAATCCATTAAATAACAATTCTTTCAACTGTAAATAAACATAGGATTGTAGGGTATGTGGTATCGGTGTGTCAAGATTTGAAGGATCAAGCACAGTTCCTCTCTTCTAAACTAAAATCCTTTGGTACACACAACTTCATTCTCAGAGGTGACCTCAACATTTACCTGGTTCCTCGCTGGATACATCATCTAGTGATCTACGATGTGAGCCAGAAAATAAGTAAATTCTCATATTGTGATTGTGGAAATATCTTATTATGTATGACGCCACTAATGGGTCTATGATTAAGTGCTTATAGACCTCCTATGATTTAGAGGTCTGTAAGGTGAACATATATGAATGAAGAGCACTAAGGAGGGTTTTTTACACTTGGTTAAAGGGATGGTATTTGAAAGGAAGAAGAGTTCATGTGGTAGAATCACTGTTTTTTTTTACAGTAGAATTTTGTGAATATTTTGAACATTTGGGACACAGATTGGATTGCATATTTTGATTGCATAATTTCTCATTTATTTTGTTTTTGAGGGTTTTTTTTTTTTTACATATTTGATATTTCCACTAATAAATGCATTGATTTTTGCTTTGTTTAGCACTGCACAATTTAAATATTTGCTTTAGATAACATGCTTGGGGGGGGGGGGGTGCCTTCAATTTAATAGTGGTGCACTGGCAGCACATATTTGGTTCTGACATTTTTTCTATTCTTAAAGTATTATCTTTGCTTACAAACAGCAAGGACACACCACTTTAATTAACTTCTGACTAAAAAAGGCTTTTTTTCCAGGTACTTTTAACAGTGGCACATGTTTTGTTTATCAAATGGTCAAAACCCGATTTGATCAGCAGTCAAAAATTGTCCAATAGTTCGCTGAGGCTGTTCTTGTTCTCATTGATGCAAAGCTGTTCAGCTGCTGCCCAATTTTTAACAAATTTAAAGACCACAGATGAAACAGCAGTGTAATAATAGCTTGAAACAGGACAGTTATACTGTGCATGAATTGGCCAAAGTGTACAAGAGAAACAGTACAGTCATGTGTTTTCTACTGCATGAATTAAGGTCCTACAGAGGATACAGCAGTGCAAAATTGACCAGCAGCAGGACTGTTTTGTTCGTAGATAATAGGGCTAATCAGTCTATGCCTAACTTTTATATCTTTAGGGATGGGGGTGGGGGGGGAGTGGGGAATGTGAATGATAAAATTTGAGGTTGCTGAGGTGTACATTGTTCTGGTGCTTATGCAGCAAAAGAAATGAAAATCCACCCCTGAAATAAAGGCTGACTTTTTAAGGGAAAGCCTTTTATCAAAAAATTTTAAAAAAAAGCAGTTTAATCTAGTTAATCTAAGAAAAATCCCTTTTTCCTTACTGCAAAAACAGCAGTTTAGACTAAAATAAAGACCTGTCCACATAAGGTAATCAAAATACCCCTAAATAAATCAAAACCCCAAAATATCACTCTCTAAAACAAAAGCTTATTTGTTTTAAGCCTTCCAACAAATAAAATGTTTGCTCTGGGCAGGATATCGGCTAAAAGAAGATATTGACTTCAAATCAACCACAAAGTAAAATGAGAGACAAAAAATCTCCCAATAATAAGAACAAAAAAGCAACAAAGGGGTTGGTTGATCAAAGAGCTAGTACAGTTCCCTAACTGACCCTAATCTCTCCACATGCAGATTGGCAGATGTCTCTATTCTTTCCCTAGAGTAGTCTCCAATATACTGACACTATGACTGATCTGCATTCCCTCTTTCTCCCTGGTGAATCTGAACATAAATTTGCTAGGATAGCCATTATCAAACCTGCAGGATTTTCCTTGAACCCAAGGTAGCAGCAAACCCAAACCTCATCCTTGGTGGCCACTCAAATTTTAGTCCAATATTCACCCATCTGTTCTCCAACAGCTTTGACCTAAGCTTCCATAGTCAGCGTTATATCTCTGGAAAGGAGACCTCCAAGTAGTTGAGCATAAAGAAAATGTTTTTGCTTAATAAAATCAAACTCCACTACAAATCAGTTCTCTCCAGGCCCACTGCATACATTGCACATTAGTTTTTAGTAAACCTATTTGTATATTCTTATCTGTTGCTGTAACTTAATCAAACTGAAAGCTGCTATGTCTGCTATAATCACTTTAAACAAACTGCACACATTATGAATTCTGTTATCAGATTGGTTAGGCATAACTGAAACCTCTATAAATCTACCAATATAAATTGACTCTTTGATTGGAGAATCCTTTGACCCTATATATTCTTTGATTACTTTAATCTAAAGGCTAGAAGCAGGGAGTATATGTCATGGGTATGATGCACATTTATAAAAAACTGAAGGGTTAAACCTCTGCCCCTCCTTACCTTTTTAAAAATGCAATGACAGAGCTCTGTCATTTCCAGGCACAAGACTGTTCAGAGACAATCTGTACTTCATTTTGAACATTGATTGACCTATCAGGTTTCCTAGTAGCACAGCGGGTGACCATAGTCTCTGCCAATAAACGGACTGTGTCCTTCACACTCTCATGGATCTTTATATCAACACAGATGATGGCAATTTTATGCAGACATTTAAAAAGTTGAATATGAAACAGGTTTTAAACAGTGTTGTCTGTTACATGCTGTGCCTGTGCAGAAATGGACTCATGCTCAGCCCAATTCACAAAGGTAATAACACCAGAATAAGGAAGCTTTTTTAAGTGATAGTTATTTTCAGATTTGAGAAATACAGTCACACAGTTATTCATAAAGATCTTTATCTTGTGTTAAAGCTTTGTGAATTTCGTAAAATAGCTCTGCTCTGAAAAATGGATATGTGCTGTATATCAATTTGCTTTTGCATGTTAGCCCATGTCTTTCTTTATGCAAATTAACAGCTTAAAGGGAAACTATATTGTATTTTAATGAGTATTGTAAATTATTCTTGTTAAGGTACCTGAAAGTACTTTTCATGTGGTTTTCATATTTTGTTTTGCTGGACTTGTTCTGCAATGTCTATCCAAGTCACTTTTCTCGAAATCACAACAATTAAGCTGGATGACCTGAATGACATAGATTGTAAGCTCCACGAGCAGGGCCCTCACATTCCTTCTGTACTGAAATGTATTGTAATTGTACTGTCTCTCCTATATTGTAAAGCGCTCCGCAAACTGTTGGCGCTATATAAATCCTGTATAATAATAACAATTAGTAATTACTGCATGAGCATCAAATGCTCATTTAGGCGAATGCAATTTAATTTGTGATTTTGGGGAGCGTAAACTCATGAAAATGTTCATGCATGTTCATGAAGGCATGTTGCAATAATGCAGCCCATTCATTATAAATGGCACCTCATCATACACATCTGAGCAGTGTGGTGCACTATAGCACAGGAGAATATTATTTTATTTACTGTGTATGTATGTTGGGGTGCAATTTATCGGGTGATGTAAGCAGCCTTATTTTTACACTTACATTGTAAGCAGTTTTTTTTCTTCATGCATTTCAATGTAACACCAGAAGGGAAAAATGTTCCTAAATATTATAGGTACTTAAATAGTACTGTCAATTTACGTAGCGCTTTACAGATATATACTGTACATTCACACCAGTCTCTGCCCTCAAGGGGTGTACAATCTAAGGTCCGTAACTTACATTCATACATACACATATTAGGGCCAATTTAGACAGGATCCAATTAACCTACCAGCATGTCTTTGGAGTGTGGGAGGAAAATGGAGCCCCCGGAGGAAACCTACACAGGCACAGGGAGAACATGCAAACTCCAGGCAGGGAGTGCCATGATTGGGATTTTAACCAACAACCCTAGTGCTGCCAGGTGGAAATTCTAACCACTTAGGGACAGTGATGTCTAAATAAACCACAACCATTCACTTTGAGCATTACCATTCTGCTACATTAAAAAACAATACACTAATGTGATATCCTTGTAATAGGAAAACCTTTGCCGTGTATATTTTGTGATAGCTGTCCAGGGTTGTACAATTTGTGTAAAAGTATCTGTCAAAAAAAAATTACGTGAAAATGTAATTTTTCAAATTTTTTCACAATGTCTTCCTAATTAAAACCTAAGAAATAAAATATATGTATCCAAATCTGTTACCAAATTAAAATCCGATCTGTCCCAAAAAATTATTTACAGTATGTTAGCACAAGCTATAAAAAGTATAAGGCAAGAAACGGAGACCTCTGTAAAACAAAGAAAATGTTCCTGGACTCAAGGGGGGGGGGGGGGGGGGGGGGGCATAAGAGAAGAAAGGGCTCTGGGCTTTAAGTGGTTAAAAATGCATTTTACAAATATTCAAATTAACAAAGCAAAGAGCTAATCCCCCCACATAGTCAAAACCTAACTTAAAAGTATAGTAAAGTAATTTATTGAAAAAAGAGAAATGTCAATGTTCTTTTCATTCCTCGTGTGGAGCTTATTTTTCTATTAGTTTCTTTGCAATAATCTTTCAGTCCAGACATGACAGTGAGAATTGCACAGATCTGAATCCCTAAGGAGAAAAAATACTTGTATCTTTAAAAGGAAAATTGTTTTGAGCCCCTTCTAATGGTCCTAAATTATTAAAAGTATCCCCAGATTTAGACCGAGATCGAGATCAGACACAACATGAGCGATGAGATCAGTGTGACTGTCTCCAGATCATTCTGTCCTCTTGGGTATAATGAGAGAAAATTCTATCATCAAAACACTCTGTCAATTAATATCTGAAATCCATTTGCCCGGTAAAATACTGCTATTAAACTATTTAAACATACATTGGTTGTATATTGTTTCTATTAGCTATCAAAGACATGGGCTGGTTCCTTGTCCTCTCCTAATCAGAATCACGCAGTATATTTAATAAAATGGAATAGCATTTGTGGTCTCTGGAAATTTAGGTGTCCTGTTGCTGAGTAGTAAGAGAAGCTGTTCTCTATATGCTACTTGCGTTTTAAAGTTTGCCACAAAACTTTTTGACTTTCCATTGGTATTGATGTAGAGAGAGTGCATGGAGGTAGATTGTCAGACTGCAAAAACATGCAAAGCTGTCCCCAATTTAAAAAAAAAAGGCAAAAGTATAAAATGATGATGTGCCTTTGAACCTTCTAGAAAATTGGACCCCTCCCTCCTGGATCATCATCATAGGCTTCTTCTCTTCAGAGTCCGTGCTGCGCCAGCTTTTCTGCCCTTCCCCTTTCCTCCTTACACAACCATCTATGTAGTTTCTGAAGGAGGAGCAAAGGGGAATAATATAGAACAGGGGTCTCCAAACTTTCTAGACAAAGGGCGAGTTTACTGTGCTTCAAACTTTAGAGGGGCCGGTTCGTGGTCAGTGGGAGTACAAAATGTCCCATATTTGGTATTAGGGGAACTATTAGTGCCTTATCATTGGTGTCAGTGGGAATAATAGTGCCTCCTCATTGGTGTCAGTGGGAGGAATAGTGCCCCATCATTGGTGTCAGTGGGAGGAATAGTGCCCATTGTTGGTGTCAGTGGGAGTAATAGTGCCCCATTGTTGGTGTCAGTGGGAGGAATAGTGCCCCATTGTTGGAGTCAGTGGGAAGAATAGTTTTCCCATCATTGGTGTCATTGTTAAGACTAGCGCCCCATTCTGGGGATCAGTGGAAAGAATATTGCCCCATTGTTGTTGTCAGTGGGAAGAATAGTGTCCCATCGTTGGTGTCAGTACAGGAATTATTGCCCTATTGTTGGTGTCAGTGGGAGGAATAGTGCATCCTATCAGTAAGAGGAATAATGCCCCAAGGGCCTTATAAAGGCAAGTAAAGGGCCGCAGTTTGGAGACCACTGCTATAGAGTGTCATCTGAATGACAATTCTGAGTCTGCTGGGACTGCTGACATCTCAATCAGCAGCTCCAAGGCTCAGGGGGTTTTGTATGTCTAATCAAGGGAGGCTTTTATAGGTAAGGAACATGTCAAAAATAAGTCTGGTAACGGTCTCTTTAACTGATTTGTGTTGTTTGCAGTATCTTCTTTATTACCGATCCTGTGGGTGCGTTAATACGTGTAATAATGTAGTTTTCATATTACATAATGACATTTTTAATGTTTTGAAATGTTTGAATAATGACCAGGGGTGTGGCCGGAGCATATCACACCAAAGGGTGTCCATCTTTGCAGAAAGTTGTGCTGTACATTACAATCTACCAAGGGGTCTCACACCGCCAATTGCATCACCTACTTCCTTCACTAAAGCTGGCAATACAGTAGTAGAATTTCACTTAAATTTGATTTGTTTTAAGAACATTTGTTTGACTTTCTGATCATTAGTGGGGACAAATCAAGGAGGAGGATGGACATTTTTTCTCAAATTTTTAACAGTGAATGTGGTTTTCATTCAGGAAGTTACTTTACAAAATCGAATGTTAAAAGCAGAAATTTTGAAGTACTTTTGAACAACAATTATCACAACATAAAATGTACTGAGAATATTCGTACAAATGTTTGCTAAAAAATCTACTAGTGTCTAACCAGTTCGAGGTGCTAATGCTCAGATTTATATAGTATTTTTCCTAATCACCCCGTACCTCCACCACCACCACCTTCTTTAGATTACCACTGATAAATTGTTAGCAGCTTTAGTAAGGCTGGAACACGCTGGTCTGCTAAAGTTTCTTACTTTTTGCAGAAGAGAAATTCTGTAAAATATCTTGTGGCTTTATCTGAAATGTAGTATGAGAATTGGGGAAGCATACAGTATGCAATGGGATTTAGTATCCATCCCAGAGCTAATGCATACAGAGCATTTTTGAATCTAAATGTATTGACACTAGGGATGGGCTTGATGTTTGAGACAAACGTAAGTTTGAGGGGTTCCCCTTAAAAGTCCCACCAGGCCTAAAGACCTGGTATGGCTTTTAGGGGGAACCCCATTCACTTTTTAAAAAAATAATTTTTACTGTGGGGACCCTCCTAACCTTCCTACTAGACCTAAAGGGTCTGGTTTGGATTGGAGGTGGGGCCCCTCGCTGTGTTTTTTTTTTTGTTATAAATGTCTTTTTTTTTTTTTTTTTTTTTAAATGTCAGTCCTTTTGTAGCAGGTTCTATACATTGTACAGATGTGCAACTTTGCAGGTGGTTTAAGGGGACCCCCCCCCAGGCATGATATTTAAAGGATTTGTTTTGTTACTTTAAGCAATAAAAAATAATGCCCCTTTAAAAGCGGTATTTTTTTAAAAATGTTTTTATCACTGATTCATGTCCGTCAGGGCAGTACCCGAGTCCCCATACCCCTCTTATAGCCAATAACTTGCATACAAGCCTTCAAAACTGTCTCTTTTGAATTTACAAGTTTGAGTCCCATAGACTTGCATTGAGTTTGAAGTTCGTGGTCGAACATTCATTAAGTTCGAATGTTCGACGCGAACTGAACACGGAGGTGTTTGACCCATCATTAACTGATACAAAGTGCACTTTGTGGGTAAGACATCTGATCTTGATAATGTGATACAAAATCTAACTAGTCCACTGGGGTAAGATGGGACAAGCATAAGACAGTTGGCCTAGGGGGGCAGGAAATATAAATTCCGTCCTGTCTGCTTGCTGTCTAGCACAGTGTTCTTGTCATACAGATTGTGTAATAAGTTAAATTACTTAGATTTTTGTTCTGAAATGTATTTAATTTAGTAAGAGTTGCAATGCTTCTTCCTCTTGAAATTGTGAGTTGTTCCTGGAAGCTGGCAAACCATACATAATTGTGTGACAGTAAGCTAGACATTTCTAAATCTTTTTAAAACTACAGACAAATCTAACTGGTGACTCAGTGCTCTTTTCACCTTAATGACCCAAATAACGTTCACGGTCTCATGAACTATTGGTTGCACTCATTTCCCTTATTTAATGCTGGCTTTGTAATTCCATTAATCATAACAACTTAATAACAGTTCAGTAATACAATACCACTAGAATGTATTATTGGATGGTATTTTGTTTGCCACCACTGCCAGTCACTGCCATTTTTCCCTAAATTCCTATTTATGAAGAGGAAATGAAAACCAAACATGGTAATTGCTTTCCTTCACTGTTATGAATGGAGAAGTCAAGAGGAAAAGTCATGACTCCCATGTTTGCTGAAATCAGAATATGTGCAGATTGGTAGTTGGGAGGATGGTGTGGCATTTTTGGATGGGATTATTCTTTGCGTTATTGAATCAATTCTTTGTGTGTTTTGCCTTTCTATAGTTCATTGATGTTCTGATTTTACTTGTTATACAGAATAAGAAGTTATTGCTGGAGAAGATTAAAGGGACATCCCAGAGAAAGAAGAGGGTAATGCTATTTACACTTCCTTCTGTAACTGAGCAAAATGTGCATAATGTTGTTTTATGTAGTCATGTACTACAAATTACCTATTCCAATTAAAGTTTGCACCATTTGAAACATTAGTTACTTTAACTTTTCCTTCTGATTTAATTATTTAATAATTTCATTAAAGTGGAAGTAAACTCAGTCTTGAAAAAAAAAACATATTAAAAATGGCCTCCAGTAGCTTTATGCCATAATGCGCTAGTATGCACAGCACATTGATACAATAACTCTTCACCCGCTTGACTGGCCTGGCCTGACATGTGCAGGGGAGTGCCATCAATGTATGCTGAGCTGCGCATACATGGCACAGTGTACCTTAATGCTGATAGGCAGTGAGAAGTACTTATGACATCAGAGACTAGTAGGGTCTCTTCTATTACAAAACATATATTCATTGACTTAAACCCAAAAACCCACAATTATAGTGAAAAAATCAAGACCCAAAGAGATTACCCAAAAATAAAAAATATCAAATATATATAAAAGAACAAAAATAAAATAAAGTCCCAATATGCAAAGTGTCCAAATAATGTGTCCAAACAAAGATCAATTTCTTGATAGGAAGACGCTTCCTACTCCACTGAAGAAGATGCCAATAAATCACAGGTGCTCTTCAAATACCTCAAAAAACAAAATCTCAACATAGTATATTACCTTTTAAATCCCAGAACTAAAGTGCCACACGTGTATCATGCAAAAAAACACTCCAGTGTCACAGCACTCATGTGAAAAAAAAAAAAAAAAAAATGTAAATATCTCTGCAAACTATATATAAAGTGCATAATTACCCTAAAACAAACAAATTCCAGCTTGTAATCAACCACATATGTACAGAGTGTCCTTAGATTGGTATCCTCTTGTTCCTCAGGACCTCACAAACAGACCAGGAATCAGTATGTGAATTATAATCATATATAAAATTTATTGTAGCCACTTACATATAAAAACGATAAGATCAGCAAGACAGCATCAAACTCCTCATGCCCAGTATACGATCCCCTTTCCGTGTGTAGAGGGTCTCCCGATCACCAGGTAATTCCCCCTTGCTACTCCTATCCAGCACTATCACTTCGTAGCTCTGGGGGACACCTGAAGTGCACCGTTACTCTCCAGACCTCCAACACATTGTGTTTTTGTTTTTTTTTCACATGAGTGCTGTGACACTGGAGTGTTTTTTTGCATGATACACGTGTGGCACTTTAGTTCTGGGATTTAAAAGGTAATATACTATGTTGAGATTTTGTTTTTTGAGGTATTTGAAGAGCACCTGTGATTTATTGGCATCTTCTTCAGTGGAGTAGGAAGCGTCTTCCTATCAAGAAATTGATCTTTGTTTGGACACATTATTTGGACACTTTGCATATTGGGACTTTATTTTATTTTTGTTCTTTTATATATATTTGATATTTTTTATTTTTGGGTAATCTCTTTGGGTCTTGATTTTTTTCACTATAATTGTGGGTTTTTGGGTTTAAGTCAATGAATATATGTTTTATTAGTAATTCAGGGGAAGGATATTGATATGACTTTAAGGGATTTCTGAGGATTTTATATATGTGTGCTGATTTATACTTATTCTTCTATTACAAAAATACACCTTCTCTGTTTGTTTTAGCCCTGGTTCACATATATGCGGCCGTGCGGGCCACGTTTTGCGCAGGCACAAGAGCCCATTCATTTGAATGGACTCCCGTGCCCTGTGACACACAGGGAAGAAGTCCCTGCACTTCCTCTGAAACCACAGCCTGCACGGGAACCTCTGTTCCCAGTACGGTTGCGTTTTCCAGTTTGGGCGACATGCCATTAGAACTAATGACACCCACCAACGGGTCCGCATTTCTCTGTGTGGGTGGTGCGGCTGCACAGATTTTTGTGCGGTTCCACAGCGGCACCACCCACAGATATGTGAACCAGGGCTTAATGAGCACCATTACTAGGACAGAACGTATGAGGAATCAAATTTACTGTTGTCGCCAGGACAGGAAGTGAAGGTTAATCATCCAATAAGAACAGCTGTTTTTGTGACAAGTAGCTGGGAGGGGAGCAGTTTGTAGCTGTTTCCTCTTACTTTCTGTTGCATTTCTGGGACAGAAAGTGAAGAAACAATGCCAATAGAAAAAAAAACCTGATATGGGTTTTAACTTTTCCCTATTTTATTCAAAACAAAATAAAATGACTATACATACACTGTAAATGTACCTAGTTTAGTAAATTATCATGGAGCATTAACATGGTGTTAACGTTGATACTTTTTAAGTTCCCGTTCACGCCAGAACGCAGTGCAGGAAACCCGTGTTCTATGTACGTTTCCCACATTGTGTTCCAAATGCACTGTGCGTGTAATATGCTGCAGGTGTCAGTAGATTCCTAATTTCACCCAAAACCCACATTGCAAACACTGTGTTTGCCTGCACCGGATCGTATGGTGCCACAGTACCATGCGATCCTTTTACAGGTTGTTTTTAAAAGTAGTGCATGCACTACTTTTGGTGAATGCACTACTTTGCATGCACCAAAATTTGCAAGTGCAATTTTAGACCATTAATATGAATGGCTGAAAATCGCATCGCACTGGATAATTCCTGTGCGCTTTCAGTGTGAACCGGCAAGACATGCTGTCAGCTGGACAGAATGTGACACAGTGCACACTATCCTATCCTTTGTGTCTTATGCAGCCACAGTATACTTATTGGGGCAGAAATGCAGAGCAAATGACAGATTTATATGTTTGTTAGCACTTGGTGAATAAGCTAATTGGCTAGGTACGTTAGGAATTCAACAATGACATAGCAAAGCTATTAGCGAATATCATTCTCTTACAAACCAATAACTTTTTTTTCTGGGATAGCCTTACAAGCGTTTTCTGTAACAATGGATTTTATCTCCCGTCATTTCATTTTTTTTACTAATACATGCTGGTTTTTCTAAACATCTTATGCACAAGCCACATCTTATGCACACAGTGATTTGCAAGAAAATATTTAAATGTGACTATTATTTTCCTTGCTAATTCCAAGATCTTAATCATGGCAGTTTTGCTATGTTATTTATTATACAATAGAAACTCTCTTTTTTTCTTTACATCATAAAGCAAAGACAGATAAAAACTGAAAAAGCACAAAAATACAATACAGTTCCTTTGTCCTGTGTTTGCTGCTTGAGTTCACATCACATGTATTTTTATTGTGTGATGAGTGCCCAAGAGGTTTTCTGTACATCAGCACTAATTACTATAACTATTAATCGTATTCCCCATTTTACATAAATTTCCTGTATAAGCACTGGTATGCTAGCACTGATAAAGATCAATACATTTGTCAAGAATTTTCTACCATACAAGGAATTCTTTGTGATGTGGTGTTTTTATATTCCGAAGGGCACAGCACTGTATGTTTGCATTCACTTACTATACAAATGCTAAGTACAGACTTTTGCAATACCAAGGACACCAGCAGTAAATAAATGCAAATGGTAGAAAGTTAGTGCTGTTAGTATCAATATTGTGTTGTTAGTGACAATGTAGTGCTGTTAATAAAAATATAATACTATTAGTAACAATATAATATATAGGACTGTTACACTGTAACTCATGGACAGCTCCGCTCTGACAGAAGTGGGGAAAAGACAAAAATAAAAACCATATTTTATGAAAATTACTTGTCACTTGGGGTGATGATGTGGCCCCTTGTTCGCCAGTTCAGAATTATTATTTGTGGTGCAATTTTGCTAAAACGTGACAAAGTGGCACAATGACAATTTATACAATCATCACATGTGCTTTTCCTTAAAGTGTCGAATGGTTGCTGTGAGGTCCTAGCACAGCCTTTTTCAACCACCCTGGGGTACTTTGAGGTTCCTTCAAGGGTGCCTTGGCAAAATGCCTAAAAATTGCCCAAAACTTGTATACAAGCCAGAGGGCAGAACAAGACTTTTAGTTACACAAAGCCACAGGTTTTCATTGTGCACCATTAAAACATTCTAGGTACCAGCAACCTGACAACCAATTACATCAAAGTAAGAACAAAAAAAGATGTACCAGCCTTGCGCATTACCTCAGCAACAGCGTACTTACTAAAGGATAAAACAGATGTATACTCACAAAACGCCAAAAAATAGCATATCATATCAAATACAGGCCAATGGGACCAGAGTCCTATGCGAGTCCCAAATGAAGGAAGACACTAGAGAAATTGCTGATGCGTTTCGAAGGAAGATCCCCAACTTAACATGATGTAAAATCCTCCCTTATATATGTGATCCAGGTTTATAAATACCACTAATGGGCCAGTGTAATTAGTGGGGGAGGGGTGTCATGTTCTGGATGCTTAGACCAAATAGATATATAAATAGATGGATAAAAAATATTAACTGAATAATAATTTTTTACAGCACTTATTGGAAATACATGATTAAAATAATAATAATATTAACTAGTAAAGCTACAATTTCTGGGGAAATTGTGTGAAGTGTTCTTGCCTCCACCAGAGGCTACAACTGGAGTGGGCGGAGTAACTGGGTGGAGTGGCTTCAGTAACTGTTGTGTGGTTGGAGTGGCTGGAGTAACTGTGAAAAGGTTGGACTGGGCTGAGTAACTGTGAAAAGGTTGGACTGGGCAGAGTAACTTTATGGAGTGGGCAGAGTAACTGTGCGAAATGTTTGGAGTGAGTAAAGATAGTAAACATTACACTAACCAATTGATTGATCAAATTTAAAAAGTGCGCATGGCAAGCTTGATAGAGTGAGAAATGCATTTCAACTTTTAATTATTTATATAGCACATTTAATTGCAATGTTGTTGCCCAAAGTGCTTCACAGTTACATTAAAACATACATTTATAAAAACATTAGCAGCATTATCACCTCAAATACTCTCTACTGTAGAAAACTTATTTCCAAACCTTTAACCAGAAGCCGGCCAAACTGTCACAAATTCAAAATTAGATTTCAAATAGGGCAGAGAAGAGTGGTTAAAAACAAACTGCTCCAAATTGCTCACTTCACTGGCATATTCAAATGGTCGTAGTTTTAAAAACTATAAATCCTACAGTGAAGAGCTTTATATTGTCACAAGACCCAGACCTACATTTTGAAGCATAGTATGTCTCAGAAATATTAAAAATGAAGACACAGTCGCAGTTTAGAAATTGCCCTTCAAATTTGAGGTGGCTAGAGTGCAGTTTCAATGAATGTCAATGGGTGGCATGAGTTGCAAACATAAAATATAAAAGATGCGGCGCTATATCACAAGTAATAAAAATATCCAAGATATCAATATAGTGATCATAGGTGACAAATGTGATCCTGAACAATAAGCAGAGTAACATGCAGTGCAAAAACAGTCTTTGTGGTAATTTCTCTCCTTCAAAGTGCTGATTCCATGCGGTGAACATGAAAAGGATAAGGCTGTGCACTCACCAGATGCACAGTGTAACTGCGCATTTAGAGATAAATTATCTCTACAAGATCCACTGGTAGCTCTTTAAGGTCAGGTCAAGCCAGATATTCCTCCACCCGCTGGATGTTGCTGATAATCCACAGTCTCTCTCTAAGATGGCTCTATAGGTGATATGTGACTCACCAAAGGGTCACAAAGAAAGGAGACCAATAGCGTGATACCGTTTAAAAGATTTTATTCTATGCAGTATGACATAGGTGAGGATAAACAAACAAAACAAACACTGACCATGAGGTGGATTAAAAGATGGCCGCCGGGACCTCCATGGTGCCGGCGGCAGGAAGATAATGACGCTGTAGCTCCTTGACCCTCCCCTGCCCCTCTTAATCAGTGCTGGGGTCACATCAGCTCAGTGATGGAGAAAAACTGAGGGAGAAGAGAAACATTGGAATACTAGTCAGTACCAGTGTGCAAAAGTGTATTTGCTTTGGAAGAATAAATCACCTCTAACGTTGGGTGTCCTACATGTGTGGATGTTTCTGCATTAAGAAAAACTATTAGAGTAGTTTTCTACATTTTAGAATGGGGTGCCTCCAGACTGTCCATAATTTTAGAGGGTGCCTTGAAATTGTCCATAATTTTAAAGGGTGCCTTGACTGAAAAAAGGTTGAGAAACACTGTGCTAGAGGATACACTGTCATAGTCAATTTTTTAAAAATCTGAATTCCAGGCAAATATAAAGGACACAGTTTATGCAGTTCTATATCAATTACTAATCCATGACATGTATTTTATATGCAAGCATTGTAAGTAGCACATTTTGGCCTGGTATCAGCCTCTTGTAGCTCCTGTACAGCAGAAAAGACTAGGAAAGGAAGCAAAGGAAGCAATGTGAGCAGCACAGCAGCCAATTAGTTGTGTCACTTGTGCTAAGAAGCATCATTCTGATAGAATGAGAGTGACAGAAAGATGAGCTCATCAATGTGCTGCTTCTCCTTTCACTGTTCAGTTGAAGCTGAGGAGGGACAGGACCTGTAAGTGTTGCTGAACTGCAGCAGAAAAAAATAAGGTGCTATTCCCTTGCAGAAAGAGCATGTGCAAAGTTGTGCAAATCCAAAGAGTGAATGGGCACAGATACAAATTTTTTTTGATAGATAAAATGGCTGTCTTTCAAATATTTTTATTGAGTTTTAGTTTTACAAAAAAGAGAAATACAACATAGTGAGACCCTGATGGACAACTGTATCATACAAACTTTTCAGATTGAATTATAGCACAATAATAAGCCGATATACAAAGTGTTGAAGAAGTGCGGCTCCACTGATTTCAGAAAAAGCAGTTCTCATATATGTATGTCATATGTGTATTTATTTCAGGTACTTATATAGTGCCGTCAATTTACGCAGCGCTTTACATATATATTGTACATTCACATCAGTCCCTAACCCTCAAGGGGCATACAATCTAAGGTCTCTAACTCACATTCATATACAAGGGCCAATTTAGACAGGATCCAATTAACCTACCAGCATGTCTTTGGAGTGTGGGAGGAAACCAGAGTACCCAGAGGAAACCCATGCAGGCACAGGGAGAACATGCAAACTCCAGGCAGGAGGTGCCATGGCTGGGATTCAAACCAACGACCCTAGTACTGCCAGGCGGAAGTGCTAACCATTTAGCCACTGTGCTGCCCATATTAAATTGTTTACCCGGAGCTCAACTTTAATAATATGGCTGCACCACAATCTTCACACATTTGCACTGGGATCTGCTACCATCACGGAGATGTCATTGATAAAATAATGTTGTTAGCATTGTCTTTGAAAAACTGGGTTACATACGTAAGTATGATCAGGGACCCTTTATGGGACAGGGCTGCACTCTATTGCTTGCTACACACAGATATTGTTCTGTATTTGATCTGTCACATGCATTAAAATGTCACCTTACTGGGTATAATTTGAATACAGTGTTCCTTGTGAGCAAACAGTGCTGGCATATCTCTCAGTGCTTCCTTTCTCCATTGATCCAGGCAGGAGCATCTGGTTTAATCAGATGGGTGGTCAGATCACGTGTACATGGCTGACTTACCTCCTATGCCCCTAGGCAACCTAATGGGAAAGCATAGGCAATAATGGAGGCCTTACAAAAAGGGAAATATCTAGTAATCCTAAACTCATCCAACCAGCTTTCAATCACAAAAAAAGTGCTGATTCACACATGTGCAGTGCAGATTGAAGCTGAAGATTCACAGCTAATTGATATAGTAGATGTTCAGCGGTTCGTGTCAGGTTTACACCCGGTTCAGGACAGGTTTATATCAGGTTCAGGACAGGATTTTATCTAGTTCACAACTAATGGGACATGTGGTTTGGAAACAGTTCCCATAGAAGTCAATAGCCTGTAATCCGCACCTGAACCAGACCACACTGCTCAGAAATTGGACATGACTCTTTTTCAATCTGCACTGAATCCGCACCGCCAGTGCACCAGACATATGTGAACAGGAACCATAGGAAGCATTGCTATTTCACATGTCATGCAGATTGGATGCAGTTCAAACCGCATTCAATCCACATATACTGTATGTGAACCGGAACTAATCAAACAAATCAAGCTGACCTATCTCTAACAAGTTATGTATTTGTATTTATGTGACAGGTGTTTGTGGATTGCTTTGATCCAACATTACAGCAATCAAAATCAGATTTTGATGTTAATAGATATAAAAGGTACCTGTAAATTTTAAAAGTTAGATTTATACTTACCTTACCCAACTTTAATCACTATTATTCCTGGAAGAGTTCTGAGGAATACAGAGCAAGCCAACTCTTGCAAGAAAATACTCCAGTCTATTGCAATAATGTCATATTTGGAGATTGCTGTTCTGTATTCCCCAGCATCTGTTCGGAAGGAGTGTGATGCCTTCTCATCGAGGCGAAAGAGAGGAATAAGGTACGTATAAATATAATTTTTTTTCTCTACAGGTACATTTTTGAGCTACTGCCATCATTGTAAAAGGGAGTTCATTATAAAGATCTGCTTATCACAGGAACCACTGTTCTGCCAGAAACCACTGTGATCTTCTCCTCGACTTTGGTAACCAAACCTACAGATAATTGGATGCTATTGAGACAAATGTAGGTTTTCCAGTATGTTGGGAAACATCTGTGCACCATGATTACTTTATATAATACCCAGAATCATTTTTTATCTTTTGTCTTGTTAATATCTACAAACAATGCTCAGATCTTCTGCATCTCTTTTTTATTGGTTTGTATGTGCCCCCCTTCTCCCTTGAAATATCTGTTCCTGAAACTGATTTGAAGATTCCTGCATATTTGTTATCTTATATATTTAGATACAATATTATCATTTGCCTAACATATACGTAGTCTAAACTGTGTTTTCTATTTTCCCTCTCACCACCCACTGTTCCCACTTCCAGATGGTGAATCCATACCTGCAGGGACAGAGACTGGACAATGTTGTAGCCAAGAAGTCTGTTCCACATTTCTCTGGTGAAGAAGAGGAATAAGCAGAACCAAATGATTGAGCCGCCTTTGCTGTGATCCAGCGTGGCGTCCTATCTGCTGCTCCAGAGCCCCACTGACTGGCAGCATGTTTATTATTTATAGACCTGTGAATGGGAAACAGCTGGATTTATAACATTATGTTGTCATAGATAATAAAAAATATAGACTTCTGCTTTCTGTTAAATTAGGGGAACGGTATCTTTTCTTGTGTTTTTTTTTTCTGTGCGTCCTTAAGAGGAAGTTTAACCAATTGGTTACTGCCAAACACTGTCAGTGTTAAGACGTAGAGAAAATCAGTTCTCCTTTCCTTAAGTGAACCTGTGCCTGCCTGTAGAGATGGCTGACTACTGTATAGTATCAGCATTGTATATTAGAAATAAGTGCAATAAAGTCTTCACTCTTCATATATGACTCTTTGCAATGTCTGTTAAAATCAGAATAATCTCAAGTGACTGTGAGCAGCTGACATTCGGGATTGCCTGTATAAAGTCCTTAAAGAAAAAAAAAATGAAGATTTGCTGTGTGATATAGAACATTTGAACATTTTTAAAGCTGAACTCCAGGAATTAGACAAAGCCTACCTTTGCAGTGAACCCCTCTTCCTCCTTACTGCAACAGTTAAATGCTCATTTAGTTTAGGGTAAATGGAAAAGAAGTAATATCAGCCTTATTCCTTGCTCCAGAAGGGTTCCTCCAGCTGTGGGACTGGTCCTGCAAAGCTGCTTCTCTAAGGTGCTATTGGCCTGGGATGCAAGCTCATCTCCTGACATGCAATGATGGGCTAGAAGCTCTGCATTGTATATGATGACCCTGAGGGGGCACCCACAGCCTGCAGCTTTGGGCAGAAGAGGACATTGCTGAAGTGAAGAGTAGGGTAAGTAACATACTTTATCCCTGCGCCCCTAGATTAAAGAAACACTTAACCATTGCAGTGCAGAGGGCCTGTTCGTCTGATTACTGGAGTTCAGATTTAACAGTGTCTTATCAGTATCCTGAAAAAGCACCTTTTATGTTGAATTCCTCATAAAAAAAATAGCAGTGTACTTTCTGGCATGTGAGGGAACCTAGGCACCCCAATGCCTACAAACTCATTGCTAAATATCTGCAGTGTGAGATTCAAGGTATTGCTGCCTCTGACTGAGATTTAGCAATGTCACTACTGTGTTGCTCACATTTCTCTCAGTTGGAGGCTCTGACATGAAGAAGCAAAGACCTCCACATGGAAACACGGTGCAGAACATGGCATGGTAAGTCAGTAATCGGAGAAGATCAATTGTAGGGACTGCATGGATAATACTGGTGGCTTTTCCTTTTGCGCTGTGCCTGCTTTTTTGGTAACAGCTTTTAGAGCTCAGTTCCTCATTAGGCTACCAGCAAATGTGTTGAATATTAGTCACCTAATTGGCTAGTATATTGACAACAAACAACTCCACATCCATTGTGATCCAGATAATAATTAGACAGGAATCAAAGTTTGCCACATAATAATCAGACTATGTATAAAGTCCAGTCAAAAATAAATACATCAATTTGTTTGAGTTCCTGTAACATTTCTTTTTTATATTACACAAGTCTATAGTTTGATATTAATATGATAGCTCAGGTCTTTAATATGTAGCCTTTAAGCTTGTGTGGCCAAATCTTTTTCTTTGCACTGCCTTAGTTAAAGTACTGGACCAAATATAGGTAAGCTAATGGTACCACTGCACAGTAGACACCGTTAGGTGCCATATGATTCCTGAACTATTGATACCATCTCCTATAAATTGCCACCACTTCTTTTCTAAAACTGTCTTTCTGAAAGTCAGTGGGGATGATTTGCGTAAACTGGAGCACTTAAGAATCTTGTGCAGCTGTGCAAGGTAGCCAATCAGCTTCTAACTTCAGCATATTCAATTAGGCTTTGGCAATAAAATCTGGATGCTGATTGGTTTCTATGTAGAGTTTCACCAGATTTTGCACTTTCCATTTTTAATAAATAACCCCCAGATTTTTGCCTATGCTGAGGCATGTGACATAGCTAGAGCTAATAACAGACCACTGATTACGGGAACAAGAGGAGGTGTGCCTTCTGGAAGCATCCTCCGCCACATTATGGTGCCTATTATATAGCGCTGCTTTTAGTTTTATACTAAACAATTGGTAGTACAAAGTAAAAATGCCATTCTTTCAAATTTGTTAATTTTAACTAATTATTTTGTTGGGGTTTATGATAGTGAAGAGAGTGAAGACAAGGAAAATAAGTAACTCCAAGTTCTCCAACCATAACTGCCTATGTTGCTGCTGTGGCACCAGGGGTATGGGAGGGCCCAGCAGGAACTGGTGCATGTAGGATTAGTGACTTACATTTTTAAATGTATTGCTACTAACATACTATCACCAAATCAATATTGTTGCAGTGCTTATTACTGACCTGCAGAGATCTGGTCTCCATAAAATGATATCAGAGGTCCAAGGACTGGGTTTGTGGAATCAACCCTGTCTAGGAAAATAACAGAATGTTTTTTTATCTAGCATTGCAGGTCAGTAAATAAGTCAGTCTCATTTGTTTTGGTCTGTGTTTCTCCCCAGGGCAGTTTTCCATCTCTTCATGTCAGTGTTTCTCTTTCCAAAGCACGTCTAAAGCTGGCAATAGGCAGCTCTTTTTTTTGGTCAGCTGGTGGGCTCTGTGCTGGGTCATTGTGTTCTGACAGTGGGACCTGACTTTATCAAAACACACTGATCAGCAGCTGCAGCTGCTGATCAAAAAAAGCTTTCCAATTTTTCAGTTCTAATGATTGACTTCTGTCAAATAAGGATGGCCACACGTTGATTGAAACTTGGCCGGTCCCTACTGAACTGGCCGAATTTCGATCTGTCAATGGCCAAAATATATTTCTCTGAATCATTCCTAGGAGTTAGATTTTTAGCAGAGGTGCCCACTTAGTATATTAGCTGACGTGGAGAACTGTGAGGTATTTGCATAAATACATTTCTGACTGAATGGAGAGTACTTGATAATAGGTAGTATTTATTGAACACCAATGATACCTTTTGTGACTAACCATCACTTTCTCAAATTTATAGGTGTAATCCAGGTTATATAATTAAACAAGCACACAAAAATAAAGAGCTCTGTACATTAAAAAAAGCCCAAAAATTATATTTATGTAAAAAATAAATGTCTAAAAAAATATACATATGTATCGCTATGAAAATGTGCAACAGTATAGTTAAACCTATGGTGATTTTTTTATTATGTTGGAAAATTCCAGAAATAAACATTGGCAGAATAAAATGATTGGTTGTACAGTAATACTGGTAAATTATAACAATAATCAAAGAATTGCATTGCAGAGCCAAAGAAATGCAAGTAATATACAAATACAATATGGCATTGCGGGAAGCCAGTAGTTATCTCATTAAAGTGTATCACATGATGACATATAATACAAGACATATATTATATTGCAAGTCAAGCTATTAGTCTAGCTGGAGATAAAGAGAGCAATGGGATTAGGTGTTAATCCTATATAGAGTGGACCAATTAAGATAAAAAAGGAGGTACACAATATTGTACAGACACACCGCATACCTGTATTGTGCAGTTTTTTTCAGCCACTACCCCCTCCCAATTACAACCTGCCTCTGGCAGCCCCCCCCCCCCCAATCACAGCATGCCTCTGGCACACACTCCCTCCCCATCACAGCCTGCTTCTTAAACATGCTCCCTTTTCAAGCATAATCTACATCTTGCTTCAGGTTGAACAGACTATGGACTACAGGCACACTGTATGTCTGCACAGTGTCCTGTAACCCCCACCCCCCACTCTCAGGAAGAAGAGATGCATGGTCATATGAAAGAATATTTTATCCTGATAAAAAAGGTAAGAGATAATTTCTGAGACTAAACAAAAGCAGTTATGATGTCTGCATAGTTTTAACTGTATTTGAAGGTGTCTATAACATTGCATTGTACAACTAATTCAAACCCCAAAAAGGCTCATTCACATTTACACACCACACAGATACACACAGCATCGACTTTTTATATCTCCAATTATTCATCACAGAGGATTTGTCCATCTCCTCTAGAACTTAACAAAAAAAAAAAAAGTCTGACAGCTATATTAATTTCAGAAGTAACTACCTTAAGAATTGATAGACCTATGTTGCCTACAGCCATTAGGCTGAACAAAAAAAAAAGAGTGGATCTCCTTGTTGAGACATCATATTCTGTAAAAGAATGTGAAGCAGTTAGTATCCCAGATTGAATCCCGTTCTGGAAACAGAGTTAGCCAGAACAGATTAGCCTTCCATAGTGGCATCTTACAGAGCTAGAATGGTGCATGATTTGAGAGCAACCTGGGTTCATAGTCTTCTCTACCCAGCCCCAGGTCAATGTGTGAAAGTCCACCATGAGAGGCAGAATGACATGAAAAACATTTACTGTCCCTATGTTTTTCCCTCCACAAATCTCTAAGACCTATTCTATTTAGGATGGTAACAAAAATGGTGTAGAACGATAGAAAGGAATTCTAATCTTGTTACTAATAGATGATTTGTCTAGAGACAGTTCTAAGTAATTATTGAAATCTCCCAATACCAGGAGGTGAACATCTGCATAGGGGGCCATAAATTGGGCTAGTCGTTTTAAAACTACACTGGAGAAGGGTGGTGGGATATAAATAGCAGCAATTATACAGAGAAACCCATCAAGTTTACAAAGCAAAAACATATATTTGCCCCCTTCGTCAATCTGCTCCTATAAAAAACCGAATGACAAGGCATTGGAGATGAGAATACTCACTCCCCTAGAAAATGAAGAATATGTGGAATGAAATTGGGTCTTATAAATACATGAGCGGAGCAGATGGACAGAGTCTGACGTCAAATGAGTTTCTTGCAAACAGATCAGGGTCGGCTTCAGTCTATGTAATAATGCAAAGACAGCCCCAAACTTAATCTTAATAATAAACTTTTAAAAGTCACATTCATCATAGATATAGCCTATTAGCAAATA